CCTCACCGACAGCCAGGGCTGGACAAGGCAGCATCTCACTCACGGAGGGGGTGAGAAGACCAAGGTCTCGCCACGTGCCCGAGTGTTAGTCAGCAGCAGCAGGAGAAATGGTGGTTCACAGAGCTTTATTTTTATCTCCAGTTATACACAGACAGCAGAGGGAGGGAGGTTCAGAGACACACACAGCTCCACAGAGCGTTTTAGGTGAGGAGGAAAATCTGGCTGCTGGCTGGGAAGGGAAATGACACCAAGTAGAAGTTAATTAATTTATTAACTAGTGTTCCACTATGGTGAGCCCAGACTCAGCTTGGAGCTTCCTAATGCCAAGTAGAGGGCGCGGTCAGATTCAACTCCAAGCTTCCTAACACCAAGCAGAAGGCCTGGTCCTCCATTAATGTGAGCCCAGATTCAGCTCTGAGCTTCCCAACGAAGAAGAGACAGGGTCAGGGCCACAGGGGAAAGGCCCTTACTTGATGTAAGATCCGAGGGGCTCTAGAGAGGCCCGAAGGGCCTGGTCCAGAACCCAGGTTCGTCCCTAGGGGATCCTGCCTGACACAGCAGGGAGCGCCCATCAGGTGTGGGGGCCCCAGAGAAGATGAGGTCCCTCAGCCGGCTCAGGGACACAGGATGCTGTGCCCAAAAGCACGGGGCCGGGCCCCCCAGAAACCCGTGTGTACACACCAGACCACCCCGCCTTGGATGCACAGGGCCACGCCCTCCAGGAACCCGCCAGTGGACATGCCAGGTGACCCCGTCTCGGATGCAGGTCAGAAGACAGATGCCTCGTCCCCATGTAAAGGAACCGGTGTGGGCTGCTGGGCTGGTGAAAATGCAGGATGCGAACCATGAGCTGCACGTCGGCCACGGCGGAGAAGGATGGGCCTTCAAAGAGGACTGAGGCATGGCAGGGAGGAAAAGCAAATCAGAAGGGAGTCCACACACGAGGCGCCCTCTGACAACTGGCAACCCCGTCGTAAGGAGGGTTTGGGATCTCCCTGAGGTCCATCGGAGCTCGGGCCAAGGGACCGGCACCCCATGGGTTTTCCTGCCCTCCCTCACCATTATGCACCAGCTGTATACTCACTAAGCTCTTGCACTCAAAGTGCGTCCACAGACCAGCAATGCCGGCACCACCTGGGGGCGGCTGGGAATGTGGGCTCTTGCCCTGCCCCGGGTTTTCACAAGCCCTGGGTGACTGGGGGTCCGGGGCAGGCTGGGAAGCTGCTCTGAGTGGTCCCGGCTCTGTGTGGAAGATGCAGAGCCTCCCTCAGATCAGCTCAGAGTCTCTCTGGGCTTCATCCACAGAGAGAAACCCTGAACAAGTCACCTCCAGTGCCTCCTTGCATTACTTCTCAACTGGAAAGCTGGCTGGTTCAAGTTTTCAAAGAAAAGCCGGCTTATTTTTAGCTTTGTAAAATGCACAACCAGATGGATAGACACACAGAGCTGACATTTGTTACATAAAAAGTATGACAGGAGGTCCCAAGTCCACTCTAGAGCAGCCTCACCACTGGGAAGGAGAAAAGGCATCAAACTGCAGCCGCCCCAAAGGCCCCCGGGACACCCGGTCCTGGGCCCGGAACTGGGGAAGCCAGGTACAGACATGTGAGGGGGGCCCAGCAGGCCAGGACCACAGGCCTCCTCCCCCATCCACATGCCACGCCAGGGCCCTCTGCGGTCACCAGGCTTCTGACCCCCAGGGACAGGTGTCTGGACCACACAGAGAGCCACCACCCTCACCCCCAACCCCTGCCTCGCAGGGTCAGGAGGCAAAGGAAAGGGCACCCTCCAAAATAAGAGTCTGCACCTGCTGGAAAGAGTCTTCCCACACCAGGGCTGAGCTGATGCTCTGGAAGGATGACCCATCCCCAACGACCATGCAGGAGGAGCTGTCCGCAGCCCCCAGCAGCCCCTGGCCTCAGCATCTTTTCTCTCCTCTGCTCCGTGAGCTCCAGCAACGCCCTAAGAGTGAGGCAAAACCATCACGGGGTCCCTAGAGTCACTCTGAGGTGACATGACAGACCACCCAGAAAGTCAACAAAATGAGCTTTTTTTTTTTTTTTGAGACAGTCTTGCTCTGTTGCCAGGCTGGAGCACAGTGGTGCCATCTCAGCTCACTGCCACCTCCACCTCCCGGGTTCAAGCGATTCTCCTGCCTCAGCCTCCCAAGTAGCTTGAATTACAGGTGCACGCCACCACGCCCAGCTAATTTTTGTATTTTTAGTAGAGATGGGGTTTCACCACGTTGGCCAGGATGGTCTCGATCTCTTGACCTCGTGATCCACCTGCCTCGACCTCCGAAAGTGCTAGGATTACAGGCGTGAGCCACAGTGCTGGCTCAAAATGAATTTTAAAGTGATAAGAACCGAGGAGAATTTAGCAAAGTGAAGTCATGTGCCACAGGTGGCGAGGTCTTGGCCACACACAAGGTGAATGCTGCGGAAGTGGAGCGTTCCTTCATGCCAGCAGCACCCGGTGTGGAAGTGACCAGCTCAGTCCAGCGTTAATCAGCAACCAGTCCCGCAGGCCGGGAGCAGCAAGGGTACAGCCTGCCCAGGCTCTGTGGCGAGGGGCTGCTCGGAGCCCTCAGACCTGTACACGTGGAAACATCCTGACCACGCTCGCCCTGGGAAAGCGGAGGACTCACGGAAGAAGAGGACAGCTTTCTCACTCTCCCTCACGTGCTACTCCCTAAAGGTTTCCATTTCCAACACAAAGAGTGAAACCACAGAAGCGCTAGAAGAAAGTACAGATGCAGGTTCCTGAATGAAACTCTTCTTAGCTTTGCTGGGAAGGACTTCTGTCACATAACAGCAAGGCTGGAAGCGGCCACAAAGGCAAATGATGAATCTGACCATACACAAAGTAAACACATCCATAGAGAAAAACACCAAGTAGCAACATTAAAAGATAAGCAGGAACGTGGACGGGAAGCTGCGGAAGGCTCAGCCTCTGAACTCTCCAGGAAGGGCTAGGGGAACCTGGGGCTGCCACCCCTCAGCACACAGGCTGCTAACAAGCACGAGCAAACAATTCTGAAAAAAGAAACCTGGATATGCTCCAAACCTCATTGGTAATCAAAGAAACTCAAAGTATGAGTGCCATCTTTTCATCTCTCAGACTGGCAAAAAACAGAAACATTGTTGATAGCCAAAGTGGGAGAGGATTCAGGGGGAAAGGCTTTCAAACCCTCCATCCCCGGAGCACGTGAAAATGGGTTTCCCCTTCCTGCCGCCCCACTCAGCGCAGGCGCCCCTGGTTCTCTCCCCCCCATGCCTCCTGCCATCCGCTGCACCTGCTCCTGCCTCCCCGTCTTGTCCAGTCTCCCTGCTTCCCCTCTGCCTGGTCACCCCACGACTGCAAGGCCCACATCCAAGGCTCATGGATGGACCCAGTGAGGGGCCACACATGCCAAGGTATTTCACGTGGACCCCTTTGCTTGGGCAATGTCATTCCTAAAAATGTATCCCAGGGAAACAACGCCAAGTGCACAAAGACAAATATGCAAAGATGATCATCAATACATCTTCGTGATATTTATAAAATAGAAACACCTCGCTGCTCTGTGACAGGAAGCTAAGTAAGCAGAGAACGTCACAGCTGCTGAGAGGAACACTGCAGAGTCGGGATTCTCAGCCCTGACTGCTGGGAAAACCCAAAAGAGGCCTAAAAACAAGCCCACCCCCGGCCCACCAAGCCCCCCAGTTCACCCGCAGTTCATGGGTATGGGGCCTCCTGAGCCCAGAGCCCACCCCCGGCCCACCAAGCCCCCCAGTTCACCCACAGTTCATGGGTGTGGGGCCTGGGCATTTTTTAAGAGTGCCCAGTGCATGACTCTAGAATACAGCCTGGGGTTGAGAACTGTTGTGAATTCAGCCAACAAATGACGCATTAGGTCTGTAAGACGCTGGCGACACTGCTGAATCCACAAGCACGTTGCGGCAAATCAGTGTGCAGGGCAGGATCCCACTTCTGCTCACAAAGAGAGAGCGTTTCTCCACGGCTGTACCTGCATTGCCAGAGGCAGGCTGGGAGGTGACGCCGGCACCTTCGCTGTGATCGCTCAGTGCTGAAGTTACAGGCATCCTGGCGTAACGTGTAAAATGTTTTTAAATGCAGACATTTTTGATGCTTTTATAATTAGGAAGAAACAATGGTGTTTTTAATTTGAAGAGATGACTTGAGGAGTCTGGTAGCCCCTGGTCCTGCCTCACGGCCCGCCCAGCCCAGCACCCGCGGCAGGCTGTCCACAGCCTTCGAGGGCCTGTCCTTACTTCAGCTTTCCCTGGACGAAGGCAAAGCCCCCTGGGTGAAGGGCTGCTTCCTGCTGGTGGGCTAATGCCACGTCTGGTTGGAGACACAACACTGTGACCCCCGGAGACCCCAGGTCGCTGAGCTGCTCAGCAGGAAGGTGCCGGAGCCTCCTCTCAGGCTCACTTGGTATCACCAGGACACCAAGACACAGAGGAACGAAGGGGCTCGCCCAATGCCATGCAGCTCTGGCGCAAAGCGGAAGCCGGAATGCTCCCTAACCAGCTTCAACCCCAAAAAGAATTTCTCACCGAAGTCAGAGAAGGGACAGAATGGGAGGATGTGGGCGGCTGAGGGCAAGGAAAACCAACGACAAAGAGGTGCAGAGAATCCTGTACCTGCACCAAACACCTGCCAATTAGGAGGACGGCTCTGCAGTCCACAAGGATTAAAAGAATTGGGGACATTTACAATCTTCTACGTCACGACTATGCCTAGCAGTTGAAATTTACCTGGCACTTTGTTAAACAGCACTCTTACTTTTTCTGCATACTAAATTTGATATATTAATTAGGTGTTTTAACCTAAAAAATTCATCAGAAGGTCTCACGTTGCCATAGCAACTGTGCAGCTTCAGTAAACTGGAGTTACCAACACAGCCCCGGGGCCTCCTGAAGCCAGTGCTGCTTCGTGGGGACACGAAAGTGCCCGGGAGTGACTCGGCCAACCTGAAAGAGCTGGGACTCCTAAAACATTCACCTTTCTCCTTCCAACAGCGTCACTCCCACTGACGCGCGTCCCCGCTTTCACTCAGCGCTGCACCACATTCTCCTGCAAACACTGTGCCATGACTCCAAGCTATCTGAGCCCCACCAATGACCGGAAGAAGGGGAACGAAGCAGTCACCTGCCCAGAGAATGTCCTCTGCTATTTGGGCCAGTGGCCAGCCTTGCCCTACAGCGTTCACCACACAAAGCCCAGCTAAGCCCCGGCAGGCGCTCAGCGTGGGATGTGGCTGCATGCCACATCATAAGGAGCCGGGGTCTGTGGGACATGTCAGCCGAGACCTCCACCGCACCACCCGACGTGAGGCAAATACAGTGACGAAATGATCCCCACGTCAGGCTGCGGGCCCCACAGACACACTCTATGCTCTTTCTGCCTTTCTAGTGATCCTTGAATTCTGTGACATAACACACTGTGAACACGTAGAAAAGTCTAACTTAAAAAGCCGAAGGCCACCCAGGGCCACATCACTGCCTCCTGTCCCACCTCAGCCACCCTGGAGAGCACCGTGCAGAGACCCAAAAGAGTGGCCAGCTCATGGCAGACACCAGCAGGTGCTCAGCCAGATGTGTTTCCCAGACCTCCTCTCATCTGCAGCCAGAAACTAGATGCAAATCTGCCTCTTGATTACGGCCTAGTTCACTCTGGGCTTTCTTTAGCTTGAATATTTATGTTAAAAACAAAAACATGGTATCAAACATTCACCACAGTGAGTTCTGCTGTCCCAAAGTTCAGAAAACAGCGACAGCCACCCTGGAAGGTGTGGGACCCAGTGTGGCTGGCCCTCTAGCCCTCTTCCTGGGCAGCACAGCATCAATGCCGGGGCTGTCTCCGGGAGGAACGCTGGTGCACAGCCCCGCACTCACCAACGCTGGCCCGAGGTCGTATTATTGTAATTTCCCATAATGCTTAAATTATTTATCTCAAGTAAATAGCTTGGGCTCCTGAGCACTGTGCTCTAAAATTATAATGGATCCATCATACCTCTGCAGGCTGTCTACAAATGAAAAATGCACATTTCAATTATTTTAAGAAAACGTCAAAAAACATGAAACATGTCATCATTGAACCATTTCAAATAATCTACATGGCATCTGCAGAAAAGAGCTGTATGTTTGCAAGAGACTGTATTACAGTGTCCACCGGCTGAAGCCACGCGGAACCTCCCGACAAGCGCTAAGTCGGGGGCCCCCGGGACCTGCACGGCCTGTCCCGTCTCCTCGCCTGGCCTTTTCTGCTGGCGCCCACTGCTGCACGGTCACTCGAGACACCAGTCCCCGGGCTCGGCAGCTTTACCTGCAGGACTTCACTGCGCACTCGTTCCCGAGAGGCCAGGCCCTGCCTCCCGCGCACATGGCTGTGCCGAGGCGGGACACCGCGCGGTCACCACGGGACCGGGCCGCCACCTGTGGGGCAGGCGCCTCACTCCGCACAGGTGAGCGCCTCCTAACAGCAAAGTACAAGCGAGCCCGCACGTGGGCCCGGGCGAGCGGATACGGAGGGCGGAAGACCCGGGCTGCGGCGGGCGGTGGGCGGAGGCGCGCGCAAGCCCTGGGCCGCCACAGCCGGGAGACCCTCGCCCCGCGGGCCCCCCGCGCAGCCTGCTCCGCCCGCGGCGCCGCCACGGGAAACGGAGGACGCGGCGGGCGCCCCGGACTCGCGTGGAGCCGCTCCGGAAGCCGGGGCGCCCCGGGACGCCGTCCCACCGGGTTAACGCCGCGTGGAAAAGGCGCCCCGCCGCGTCCGCCCCCACGAGAGCGCCAGGCCCCCACGCCCTCCCCGCGGCCGCACTCACCGTCCTCCTTGTCGTCAAACACCGGCCTCCGCGCCGTGGCCGCCGACATGGACGAGCCCATCCTCTTCTTCCACTTGCTCCACGGAAACAGGGGGCGCGGCTGCGCGCGGGCATCGCCCGAGTCCCGGGCCCGGGACTGGCCGGCAGCGGGCGGCTGCAGGGCCGGGGGCGCGTCGGGGCCGGAGGGGCGCGCGCGGCCGGGGGGCGGCGAGCCTGGAGGCGCCGCGGCGCAGCTGCCCCTGCGCTCGGCGCCGCTCCTCATCGCCGGGCCTGGGTGCGCGCCGCGGCCGGAGCACCGGGCATGGCCGGCCCGCAGGGCCGAGAGCAGCGGCGGCGGCGGCGGGAGCGCTAGGGGCCCGCAGCGCCCGCCGTGCGCTCTCCTGGGCGGCGGAACCCGCCCCGCAGCCTGCGAGCGCAGGGGGCGGGGAAGGGGCGGGGCGTCGGGAAGGGGCGGGGCGGGGCGTCGGGAAGGGGCGGGGCGGGGCCGACGGTCGGGGCGGGGCCGGGGAGAAGCTGACTGCCGGGGCGGGTGTGGGCGGGGCGCCGAGGGGGGGGGGGCCGGGGCGGAGCTGGCACCTCGAGTGTCGCTCGAGACCGGGTGGCCGCCTCCAGTCTGGGGATGGGGGCTGTGGTTCGCCAGGACACGGGGGCCACGGCTCCGACTAGACGGCGGGGACGAGAGCGAGGGAGGCAGGGAGCGTCCCCACGGGTCCCGGAGCCGGGAGGTCGGCGTCCTTGGCACGGGGACAGCTCTGCTCGGCACGGCGGCAGGACCTTCTCGCGGTCTCCGCGGGCCTCCCTCCGCTGCCTCCTTGGTGAAAACCGCCGGCGCGCGGGCTTCCGCCGCCTGTGCGAGGAGTCTTAAGCTCCAGCCTTCCGCTTTGCGCAGGGTGAGGCCGGGCTGCAGGCCCGGGATGCGGGCGGCGGGAATCGGCCGGGCAGGGCCAGGCTCACGGTCAGGAGGCTGCAGGCGGCGCCGAGCGCTGCGCCAGAGGGTGGGGTGGGGCGGGGCGGGGTGGGGTGGGGCGGGGCGGGGCGGGGCGGGCCTGGCTGCGAGCGCGCACACGCGGGCGCCCAAAGTGGGCGCTGACCCCTGAACACGTGCGCCCGCGCCCTTGGGCACCCCCGCCCCGTCCTCGCGACCCCTGTTTGGCCTGAGAACACGTGCCCGAGCGGCCCAGATGCGGCAGGGGCCTCGGCACTCGGCGTATTTCGGAGGCCTGGGGCGCGGCTTAACCTCCGGGCGCCTCCGCCCCTGCGCAGGGCCAGGTGCCACCGTGCGCTGAAAGCGCTGGGCACGTGCAGTGCGCTGGAGAAGGCGCGGCTCTGCATGGAGCCTCACTGCCTGCCCCTAGAGCTTGTTACTGAAGAATCGGTTTTTGGTACCAGGTTGTTTGACTTTAGAAAGTTTTTAACTCCTTAGGTTCTTCCCTGTAGCCAGGCTGCAAAACCGGGGTCCCTTCCTCCCCGTGAAATCCTGGAGGAGACTTCCTGCTGCCTGCCCCGCGGATCAGCGGATCCCCCACCTGGCTCCAACGACCCTGTCTCCCGCCCCGACCCATCCCACCGCACACAACTGTCAACCCAGCCCTTCAGCCACGGTGGGCCTGCCTCTCCTGACCTTTGACATTCAGGGTGACCACCTGCCCTAACCGCCTGCCGCATGAAATGTGAGCACAGGAAGTCTGTGTGGCTTCTGGGCCAACAGGAGCCCCCATCCCTTGGGGACTGCAAGGAATGGAGCCGTTGCCCACCGGCCTAGGACACGCAACCACCTGGCCACGCACCCTCCTAGGACATGGACCCACCTGCCCAGGACACGCACCCACCTAGACATGCACCCGCCTGGACATGCACCTGCCTAGGACACGCAGCTGCCTAAGACACATAGAACAAGGAGAAATAGCATGCATTTCACTGCTGAGATTTAGATGGTATTTTTATGGCAGCATAGCCTAGGTTACCTGACCCACCAGCCACCACGGGTCTCCCTGCCTGGCTAGCACAGACGCATCAGTCTCTTAACTAAACTTCTGGTGCACAGAGCTGACTTCCCAGCCCCTGCTGCCACGCAGCTCTGTCCTCTGCTCTCCCTCGAAATTGCCATTCTCCAGTAGGCACACAGAAAGCAGCAGGTTCAGCATCTGCCTCAGAGGAAGCCCTCGGTGCCCATCCCAACAGGAGCGATGAAGGCGCGTTTGGAAGGGGAGGCACCAAGGCAGGGCAGTGCCTGGAACCCTGCACACCCAACGCACACATCAGACTCCCCAGGGCTCCTCCCAAAATGCACAGCCTCAATGTACATAACCTCCTCTCCTCCCCTCCCTCTGACCCCTAAAAGTGGCAGAAAATGAATAACAGCTATAACGTCCCCACCACAACCAAAGAGGGAACAGGAGAAGGGAGAACATGTTAATGGACTTCAGACAGCGAGTAGAAAGGCAACTCTGAAGATTGGAGAGGCTGAGGACCTGCATGTAACCTGGACCCCAAAAGGCGGGAGAATGTAAATACAGCCAGAGCCCAGGACGCCTCCCAGGCCCGGGCAGCTGAAGTTGAACATTCCTCTGGACAGAGGGCCCAAAGGGGGCCCTGACCCAGGGACGCCAAGTCCTGCAGAAGACCGAGTGCAGCGGGCTGGAGGGGTTCATGGAACGTCTGCACACGGAACTAGGATACCCTCCAACCCCACCCTTGCTGTGAGCCTCAAACACCAAGCCAGGCACCTGCCCCTCAGTCAGGAAATGGGAAGGCTGTGGGGAAACAGCAGCTCCCAAAAGAATGCTGCGTCCTAAGATTTGGCCAGTGCGGATCAGTCCTGCAGGGGCCTGTGGGCTCAGGGCACAACTCTTGGACTGTCCAGGTGACTCCTGCCTAGCATGGCACAGGGTCCAGGCAAGCACAAGACACAAGACAGAGTGTAAGAGGTACACAGGGTGGGCACGAGACAGAGGAGGGGTCAGGAGCCGCTGCACCCAGGAGCTCACCAAGCCCTGGTGCCTCATGGGAGGCAGCTCTGAAGTTCTGAAGGGCGCCAGGAGGGACTGAGGCTGGGACGGGGCCAGCTGTGGATGGGAAGGGGCGGTGAGGCCAGCAGAGCATTCCTGAGCTTCCCTGCATGTCCAGGCTGTCCAGGAGCATCAGCTTCATTGGGGCAGCAACCCTATCTGCCCCTTCCAGTGACAGGAGACCGAGTGACAATGTGCCAGATAAATACATTCAGTGCACGTGACATCTGGCATGCAGGAGCACACACACAGGGCAGCATATGCATGATCCTGGGACCACTTTAGCTGGGGTGGTCCAGCACAAGTCTGAGCAGGTGGCCCTGAAGCTGAGGCCTGAGCCTGAACAAGTAGCCCAAGGAAGGCCAGGAGTCTGGGTTCCAGCAGAAACGGGCTCCTGTGGGAGGACAGAGGGTCTGTGCTGCAGGACAGCGAGTGTGTGGCCACAGCACGTGCCGAAGGGCTGGGGGTGGTTTGGCCTACAAGGTGCAGTCCCTGACACCAGGCTTCGTGTGCAATTGTCTGTAATTCTTCCATAAAGCCATGCCTCCTGAGGGACATGCCCTGGACACGGGTCAGCCATCACCACATAACTGGCACACAGCTCGGTCACACTAGTTTTAATACGTGCTTTGTCTTCTGTCATCATTTTGAAATTAACACGTGTGCTCTGCCCATGCCTTTGTTAAGCGTCCTTTTATTAAATCTCCCCAGATCAACCAATTCACGAGTGCTGTTTCCTGCTGGAAAACACATCTCAGAACTGATCCCCAAAACAGGAAATGGGATTCCGATGCTGGGTGTCACCTACACGGAGAATCCATGGGCAGCCTCCCTCCTGAGAAATGGAAGACAGATGGTTCCAGCCGTGGCACCCTCAGATTCAGCCCTGGCAGGGCCTGTGACTGAGGAATCCTGGAAGGCCAGGGCCTTGGAGCCCATGTGCACGGACACTTGGTTGCTATGGTGACAGTATTGATTCTAAAGGTCATGTGGCCACTGAGCACAGGGACACAACATGCAGGATGGGCTGCAGCCACTAGGAACAATCCCTCACCCCCGCTGCAGTGCGCCAGGCCGAGCATGAGTTCAGCACTCAGCTCTGCGTAAGGACCCACCACCCCAGCCCCTGCCGCCACCATCATCATGGCACCTTGGCGCCTTTTCATCTGTGTGCTCCGCCCCTTTCCTCCTCTGTAAGGACACTTGTCATTGGACTTAGGCCCACCCCACTCCAGGATGATACCATCTTGAGGTCCTTAGCTTAGTCACCTCTGCAAAGATCCTCTTTCCAAGCCACCATCTAACCCCCCACATCCATGTACAGCATGTGTTCACCGCACCCTACAGCCCCCAAGTCCCAGCCATCACAGCATCAACTCTAAGTCCAAATTCCCACCTAAAGATGTGGAGACAGGGTCTCACTCTGTTGCCTAGGCTGGAGTGCAGGGGCCCTGTGACGCCTCACTGCAGCCTCAACCTCCCAGGCTCAAGCCATCCTCCCATCTCAGCCTCCTGGATGCACACCCCCATACCCAGCTTTTTGTACTTTTGGTAGAGTCAAGGATTTTGCCACGGTGCCCAGGCTGGTGTCAAATTCTTGGGCTCAAGCAATCAACCCCACTCAGCCTCCCAAAGTGCAGGGATTATAGGTGTGACCCGCTGCACCCAGCGTCTCATCTAAAAATTTTCAGCTCAAAATCCCAACACTCATTATCGAAATCGGGCATGGGTAACACCTGGTTCGATCCATTCTGGGCAAAATTCCTCTTTACCTGTGCAACTGTGGGACTAGAAAATATGCTTCCAAGGTCCAATGATGAGCTCAGCATAAGATATACACTCCCATTCCAAAAGAGAAAAAGAAGAAGGAATAAATGGAGTTTCTGGCCCCAAGTTAAGTTCAAATCCAGCAGGGCAAGTTCCATGAGGCTTCAAGGCCTGGCAAGACTTCTCGGTGGCTCAGTGCTGCACTCTGTAAATTAAAATTAAAACCCTAAGCCCCCAGCCAATGGGACGGATCCACTCTTGGCCAAAGAAAATCCAGAAAAACCTTAAAACTGAGTTCTAGGCCAGGTGTGGTGGCTCATGCCTGTAGTCCCAACACCTTGGGAGGCCAAGGCAAGCAGATCATCTGAGGCCAGGAGTTCGAGACCAGCCTGGCCAACATGGTGAAACCCCACCTCTACTAAAAATACAAATCTTAGCCGGGCGTGGTGGCACATGCCTATAATCCCAGCTACTCAGGAGGCTGAGGCATGAGAATCACTTGAACCTGGGAGGCAGATTGCAGTGAGCCAAGATCATGCCACTGCACTCCATTCTGGGCAACAGACCGAGACTCTGTCTCAAAAAAATAAATAAATAAATAAAACAAGA